TGACAAAATGTTTCATGCTTGACTGGACCACATTTCTACATATGCAGTGGTCAAGAAAGTGTAAAGGTGGATGCAAGTAGGTGTTCCATCTAAAAACAACGGAAACTAACGGTCTAAGTATTTTCTTACTAGAATTATTATTTATAGTTTTTAAAATTTATTTATTTTTTCATAGTCATGATCTCCGTGTTAGATATTACATGTCTTTAAAAATAAGTCTTAAGATCCATCTCAAAAATAGATTTATTAAGAGGCTCACATTTCTATATATGCAAGCTTGGTCGCATAGAAACTGGGTCCTTTTTTTTGCCCTTTTTTATATGGAGTATTTTTTTAAAGAAAAAGATTATATAAAGGTTACAACCTTAAAATGTAGCATTATAGATATACCTAAAAATCCATTGGAGAATGTTGTTTTGTTGAAAAATCCTTTAGTACATCATCTTGACATCGAGATGTATGAATATGAAAAAAAAAAAATTATAAGTCTTAAAAATAGTGCATCTTGCAACACATTGTCTAGACCGTCCATTTTCAAGATTTCTATATGTTTATAGATCTACTTGATTTTAACCATTTTTGGAGTTTAAAATTTTATTATTAAATAAGAAAATAGATTTTTAGATAATCCTAAGAATTTTTTACATCAAAATTACATGTTAAATTTTGGAGGTGCGCCTTAATTGGATTGTAAGGTTCCAACTTGCAACCTTATAGAAACCACACTTTTTTTTTAATGTAATAAATATTTTTTGATATTGATTATTCTTATTTCGTAATTATTTTTAGATATTTTTTGATATTGATTATTGTTATTAAATTTTTCGTAATTAATGTATTAAATATTTTTAGATATTGATTACTCTTTTGTATAAAATTTGATAAGTGTAGTTCAGGAGTAGTAAAATCATGCCCTTGAATTCAAAATTATTATTCTTCTTTTCAAATTTGGAAAAGGTTTTAAAATATAGAATCAAAGATGCACCTCTAAATCTATTGGAAAAGGTTGTTTTAATGTTGAAAAACCATCTAATTGATCATCTCGACGTCAAGATGTAATATGAAAAAAAACAGAGATTCAGAATCATAAAAAGTGCATCTTGCAACACATAATCTAGACTGTTTGTTTTCAAGATTTTCATATGTTTATAGATCTAGCTGGTTTTAACCATTTTTGGAGTTTAAATTTTTATAGTTAGATATAAAAATAGATTTTGAAATAATCCTAATAATTTTTTTACACCAAAATTAGATAAAATTTGGAGGTGCGTCTTGGATTGTTTAAGGTTGCGACCTTATAGAAACCACACCCTTCAAATTTTCATATGGAGATGATTAGACATATTTTGAAATTTGAAGCTAAAGAGTTCCCCTTGGGGCTCTGATATAACACTATTTTTTCATGCTTAGAATGGATGTCCTGTATGTTATGGATTTTCTTGTTTAAATTGTACTTTTTGCCTTCTAAAAAAGTAATTTTAAGGGCTTTTTTTCATAAATTTTCACAATATCCTTTGCTAGGACCAAGAGAGATGAGTGTACCAAGTTTAGGTCGATATAAATGCCCCTAATGCCTCTAGAATAGTGGATGGACAAATGTTTTCCATATAAAAGTAGAAACAAAAATCCAAAAAGCTAAGGTGGAGAGAAGAAAAATCAATTAGAATAGACCATTGTATCATGGACCATTTTGAATTCTCTGCAAAGAGCATGCAGGCCACTCAATTTGGTGTGGATGATATTCAAGATTAGATAAAAGAGCTTCTTGAGGCTGATATCTTTGCTTTGTATGTGTTTTGATCCCATTGAGGGGTATTCCTGTGCTTCCTCTCTGCAAGTGCTTTTCCAATTTTCTCATTTTCATTAATTATGAGATCAAGGACCGGTTGAGATCTAAGGAGGTGCAGCACTTACTAAGAATACAGCACAGAAGCAGATAAGCTGGTGAAAGGAGAGGCTGGAACAATTTTGCAGGTTAATAGAGTCTAACCTCTCACCTATTTCCTTTTTTTCTTTTGTTATACTGTATAAATGATGCAAATGTTACATACAATACAATTAATGAATTAATCAAGTTAAGATCTAAAAAAAAAAAAGAAAAGGAAAAAAAAAGAAAAGAACATTATCATGAAGACAAGAAAAACAATAAAGCAGAGAAACCTCAAGAAGACTGTAAGCAACCAATCCAATTCTTCCTGCACATACATCAGCAAATCAAATGCAGCACCACCGCACAAGGTGCCCACCATCTTCCATTCCCATCATGCTTTCACCCAAGTCGTCTCTTCCCTCACATCCACAGTCAAGAAATCAATCAGCTGAGACCACATTCAACATGCAATAAAAATGTATGGAGAATACGTACGACCATGCCTGGCACTTATGATTACAGTATGGCCATGCATTGTAGTGGTGATGGTGATGGTGATGGTGATGGTGATGGTGACGATAATGATGATGATGCACAATCACATGTTGCATGGATGACGATCGTCATCTGCATTGGCTTGGACGAAAGTTATCCTTTGATAGTAAACCTATAATTAGGTGCTGGAACCTGAGGGCACCTGGACCAGGCCTAAGCACGGTGGGGTCACCCAAAATAGAACATCGGTTGGCTTGGCCATCCCCTATGCACCAACCCCCTGGCAAAAGGGCACCAGCAGGTCGACCTAAGAGTTCAGCATCAATCTTGTCAAGCACAGGGTCGTCCCTTTGGAACTTTCTTGCAAAGGGAGCATTGCTATCAATCATCAAGTGGGTGTGATTGACAGTGAGGTAATGTGGATGCTGTTTTGGGGGGCTGTCCCAAGAGATGTAGTGCAGGTCGTGGTTGACAGTAGTGTTTTGGAAGTTGTGTGCATTGCAAATGACAGTATGGAAGTAAAACTCCGGTGTAGATATGAAGTTGGCATAGTACATAAGGACTGTTCTCGGGAGGTTGTCCCAGCCCCATACACAGTACTCGATGAAGGAACGTGAAAGTGCCATCCAAGCAGAGCCTGTGAATGAAAAAGAATTATAGTTACATTAATTAAGCAAGCATGGCAAGAGAGAACAAATGCCAAACCATGGGAACACAAGCCAGAAAACGTTTGGGATAACTGTAATTTCTCTAAAAACTACCAAGATCTGAACAAATACAGACCTCAAATGAAGATAATCAGATGCTATATTTAATTCAGGATTCTTTGTTCCCTATAATAGCATGTATGTGAAGTTTTTGAACACCTAATTTTCCATCTAGTTCTCTCTACCCATGTGCTTATAACTTCCACGTCTTTTTATTTCTACGTTGAATATATTAATCACAAATATAATATCTGAATGGACATATATCTGGGTCTAAAACATCACGTATAGAGGAATATCATTCCAAACTAGAACCAAGGTTGGATGTCAAAACAATGCTAATGGTCATGAAACCAAAGAAAATACAACCTACCGGATCCCAAATTGAAAATAGAGAAGCCAAGCCAATCACCACACCAAAACCACAAATTTGAAACAAAGTTTTGCCTTTACATATTGGGAGAACAGCTATGATTTGCATGATCATCTACGGCAATGTTGCCCTTTGTAAAAGGTTCTTTGCCCTCTCTAAAAGGTATAGAACCAAGAAATTTCTTCTAGTGTGTTTTAAGAGAAAAAACCATTCTAACGTTCTCCGTCCAAGATATTTCACATTATTCAATCCTTCCACTGACAATCCCCAATCACATCCCTTCACCAGCCCATGAACCCAGTTCTAATTGAGCCCTGGCTTCTGTCACCACAAACAAGTACCATATAAGTTCCTATTTAGCATAAAACTGCAAACTGATTCCCACGCAGTCTCTAATGATCCCACCAACCCCAGCCAAGCATGGACTTTCATTGGGAAGCTCCATTCCCTCCAATTTGGAAAGTACAAACAATTGAATCAAGGGGAACTTATCAACAAGTACCCAAGTGATAAAGTACTTAATATTATACTCCAAACTCCTCTCTCTCTCTCCCCGTGATCAGGAGAATGGCTCTGTCTGATGGAGTGTCTCTCTCTCTCTCTCTCTCTCTGTGTTCAGGAGAATGGCTCTGTCTGATGGAGCGTTCCAGCATCCTCCCCCTCTCCACCACTACCAACTCTTCCCAGCTTCCCCTCCTTCTCATCCTTCCTCTGGCTCTCAACCACCATTGCCCACCAACTGTTCCATTACATGCACGTCTTTTATCCTTCGAAAGCCTCCCACGTAGCCCTCCCAGCTAGCACCCCAAAACATGTTTCCCATTTTTAAGCCCAGCCTCCCTCGCTCTCTCCTCCCCATCCCTCTGTCCCTTTCTTTATCCAAGTGGGGCAGCCACACCACCTTCATCGAGAAAGCTCTGCAGCTATCACTAGTGGGTTGCTTCCATCCAAAACGTAATGATGTCAAAAAGGCATCCAGTGGTGGGCATCGGAATCTTGGGATGTTTCTGAATTATCTTGCCAGAACCTTTCCACGGGCAACATCCTCTTCTCCTTCCCCTCTGAAGCATCCCTTCTTAAAGCGCCAGGAGATCAAAACTGTCGCTTCAAGGGTGCTTCTCTCACCCTTTGTAGGTGGAACACGGAAATATGGGTGTCGTTAAACCCCAGAAGATTTGACTCAACGTGTCCCACATTCCACTCCAAGCCTGGAATGTAGACACTTTCAAGAGGATTGGTGAGGCCCGTGGAGCCTTCATTTCTGTCCACTGGAGGTCCGCAAGCCTTCTTCCCCAAGGAACTATCCAGCTTTTCGTCGAAACCCCTTGCCTCTCTCACATTTCCCCTATCCTTTGGTTGGAGGCCGATGGTCTATTCTTTTGCAAGGCCGTTTCTTAGTCTCTGGCTTCCCCACCTTGCTCCCGCCATACTCTGGACCACGGTCCATCGGTTCCTAGACTACAAACTTTGGAGCACAATATCCGAGCTTCTATGCTCCACTTTGGTTGGACCACGGAGCACAGACGACAGTAACTAGCAAGCGCCTGCTTAGGAACAATCAGCGCTTAGGCCCTCCAACGGTCAGATCTCACAACTGGGATCTGATGGCCGGCTTGTGCTCCCTTCGGATGCATGCATCAACATCAGGGCACATCCTTAGAAGGCATGCACCGATCCCCCAGATGGCTCCTCGGGCATGCATCTCTCTCTACTGCTTAGCGATCATGTGTCACTGTCTTATGCAGCCCACACAAGGTCGACACGTCGCCCTCTCGAACCAGCAGATTGGCTTGTCCAGCAAGCTACCGGCCTTGCCCTCCAGCCTGTGCCATTGACATGTGGCGTGGCTCTGGGACGTCACGTGAGCCCCCCCATTCATCCAATCAGCTGGCTGATCGTGGCAAGCTAGTACAACCAGCTTGGACAAATGGCCCCTTCCTGAACCCGCCGAATTCCCTCTCACATATCCTGAGGCTGGTTGTCCCAGTGAATGACAGGTGGCATCCACAGAGCAATCGAGTGATCAGTGCTTTCCTACATATGTCTTCTGCGAGGACTCTCTCTCTTTTGCTCCTCCTTCCGCACCCTTGGCTTGATTGGCCCTCCCGTCCAACCCCTCGACCAATGTCGCAGCAGGCTTACCAACACCCATGGCATCTCCACCCTCGCCACCCCATCCCAGCCCATCCTCATCAGTGCCTTCTTATGTTTCTGCTGAGATAAGCCTTCCTTTGTCTACCCACCTTTTCAAAACCCCCAATTTATTCTCGTAAACACCATCACCACCCTTTCTACCTTTGGCCCTTCACCAAGCACCTGTCCAACTGCCAACCCAATCTCCATTCCCCTTCCTCCTCCTTGACTTCATCTACCCCTCTTCTCGCAGCCTCACCGTGGGCCCAACTCCAACATGTTTGTTGCCTTACCCTATCTTCTCCTTTTATTCAGCCTTCCCAGCCTCTTGGCCCACGTGCCATCCAATCCTTCCTCCTTCCTGGGCTGTCCCATTCTCCCCATTTCCGACTCAATCTCTTGGATTCTTGACTTCGGCTCAGTCCTACCCCCCCCCTCACGGCTGCAAAAGGTCCCATCATTTAGCAGGCACCACTCAGCTTCCCGATAAGAGGTTCGAGAGAGATGGTGTAAGTATCCATTTGCCTAAAATCCATCTGTAAAAGGTTTCCAGTCAGAGGACTGGCTTCATCTTGTAAGGGTTTGTATCAATTGAACTTTAAGGAAATCCAAAGGGGTATTTTGCATGAGGTGGGTGGGATTCAGAGTGATCCTCAAGGATGGTTAAAGAGTAGTATATAGGTGTTATGAAGGTTCACATTATGGAAACCATACTAGAAAGATTCATCATTATTTTAGAAGCAACTCTTTCCAAAACATCATATGCCATGATTACAGATGGTGACCCCTTAACGTCCTCGCATAGAACTGGATGAATATCTCCTCAATTTGGAGGGAAAAGACATCAAATATGGATGATTCCTTATCATTTTTGCCATGTTAATTAAAAGATGAGCAAAGCTGCTGAAGCATTAACAACCTTAGATTTCCTGTTTCTCTAAGAAGTCCTGAGCTGGCTTCTTGAGTCTCTCTGAATTCTTTAAGGTTGATTTTTGTTTATCTCTGCAGATATTGTGGGCACTTTCACATAATGTTTCTAATAAAAGCTAGAAGGCCGGACATCTTATTGTTTATAAATTGATAAGATATTTATTTATAATCATCAATCAGAGAGCTGAGAACGGGTTCTAGGCAGGTACCTCAACATGATGTTTACTGTTCCATTTTCAAACTTCGGACGTAGTACTAAAATTACCTATACTATATTCTAAAACAATGAACCCCAAGCGCAAAATATTTAACCATGGAATGGCTACTATTCACAATTTGTTCAACAAGAATCCCTCTATAAATAGTCAAGCTTACTAATATGAGATGATAGCTCCATAGCATACTTGTCTAAGAATATGTACATGTCACTCTTTAGAGGTTAGACCATAGCCACACCCATAAGGCTTGGCCATGGTAAGAAATGTAAAATCATCATTTAGCAGAATGTACAAGTCTAGCACATGCCAAAGAAACGCCATACATCTAAGGCACGCAAATAGTTAGGTACAGTTGGAGCCTCTCAACGCCTATGAAGGCAAAACAAATATATGCATATGGGGTTTTGCACATGGAGCCTAAGGTAGTAGATTAGGGACTAAGCTAGTGGGTAAGGACCAGATGCTGTTCATCAAAACTAAGCTAGTGGATAAGAACCAAATTCGGCAAAGAGCCTAACTTAATGGAGAAGGACCAGATTGGAATGAAGAATTTTGAATTATAATTAGCCATAAGCAGAACAAAAAAGATTTTGGGTATGAAGGTCAAATGTAATAAAATGCAATGCACCTGTAAAAAGTTTGAATGCTGTGGGGACACTTCTCCTCAGAGGAAGCCTCAAAAGATCTGATTTATTCAACATGTAAAGTGCTGGATCTACAATAACAGGTCTTGCTCTCATAGACCTATACAATGACAACCAAGCAAGTAAAAATTCAGGAAATCCTGATGAGAGAGAGCCAGGATTCCAACTTACCCAAGAAAGAACAAAAATTACAGATATTTACAACTGAAAATTAAAAGAGGAACTAAAACTTAAAAGAGGTGTTTCATACTCTTTCCATCCCATGTCGCTCGTATGCTCTATAAAATTCAGGTCCCTTGGCAAGTAGGCAAAAGTGTGCAGCAAATCTAAATCAAAATTGAAAAAGGAAAGGCAAAAGTATTAAAAGGAAATCCCAGCGAAAAAGAAGCATGGGCACATGATAAAAAGAAGAAAAAGAAAACAATAGGGCATCACAGAAGAAAAAGAAGAAGGGAGATTGGGGTTTACCATCTTGAGTGACAAGGGGATAATCAGAGGCGCTGAGGTTGATGAACCAGTCCCAATGGGGGCTCTTACGCAGCAGAATGGCTGCGGCCTGAAGCGTGTTGGTCACCATCGTGGGGCCTCGATAGGTAACCAGGTTGGCCTTAGTCATCACCTCCACATTACCCACCATTGAAAACACAGGCTCTTCTCTCACATACTCAGCAAGCTCCATTCTCTCTCTAAGGGGGGACTCAAGGTCCAGGTGAACTGCATAGAAGTTGAGAGGGTGGTAAAGGGCTTGAAGTGCTCTCTTCAATCTCTCTCCATCATCGACAGAGCCTGAGATAAAATAGGCCAGTCGAGGAGGCGGGCGCAACTCAGAAGAAGAAGAATCGTTGGTCGCGAAGAGGGAGAAAGGGAAGGCATCATTCGTGAGGAAGATGGTGATGACAAAGAGAATTGTGAGAGAAGCAATTAGAATCCATCTCCTGCTAGCCTCCATGCCTACTCTTCACACCAACTTCTTCCACACCGTTGGCGCTTCTTCTCTCTTGTTCAGCACTTGAGTTGTAGAGACGTCAGCTCCATGATCAGCGACACAGTTCAGAAGTCAGCGTCTGTGAGCTCATTTCGCATTCACCCCGTTCGTTTTGGAGCGCATTTGTAATTCAATTCTAGGGGTGGCAACGGGTAGGTGCGTTATGGAAATCCCAATCCGGATCCAAATGACAGAGACCTCCACCGTCTATAAATTAAAAAAAACATTATTATAACATAAATTTAAGGGAAAAAGTTTATAGAGAGCTGAGGTTCTAAACAATCAAATTGGAACCTACCACAACAAATTCAGGTTGTTTTGATACCTAAATATCCTCAAATTGATCTTCTCGACATCATGATATATGGATATGAGAAAAAATGAATTTCAAAATTTGAAAATAGCTTATTTTGTAACGTATTTTTTTCACTATCAATTTTCAATATTTTCCAGTTTTCATAGATCTTTTAAGATTTTCAAGTTTTCATAGATTTATGACCTACACTATTTATAAAACTTTAAACTTTATAAATACGGGAAAAGTTTATATAGAGCCTAGGTTCTGAACAATCAAATTAGAGCCTACCTCAAAAATTTCACTAGCTGAGGTTGTTTTGATACCCAAATAACATCAAATTGATTATCTCGACATCAAGATGCATGGACATGAGAAAAAAAAGAGATGTCAAGTTTTGGAAATAGTGCATCTTGTATTGCATTTTTTGACAGTCAATTTTCAAGATTTTCAACTTTTCACATATCTACTCAATCTACACTATTTTTGAAGTTTTAAATTTTATGATTAAAGATGAAAATATATTTTAATGTTATTACAAAAAAAATTTATATTAAAACCATATTTCTTGATACTATTTGAAGGTGGGCTCAAATTTGAATGTTTAGAGTCTTAGCTCTATACAAACCGCATCCTATAAATAAAGATGAAAATATATCATCAGGCGACAAACATTTCCAGAAACTACATTTTTCCACACTATTTATTTCTCCACACAATTTGAAAGTAGGTTCTAATTTGATTGTTTAGAGCATAGGCTCTATGCATGCCGCACCCCTATTGAGTAATAATACAATAGGACCAACCCACATGCCGACCACATGGGACCCCAGATCTCAATGGTTGATCAACTTAGTAATTCCTTGGTGAACTAGTCAACCGGTAAGGCACAAAGCTTCAAAATAAAAGGATCCGGTTTCTATGCCTCCGAGCCCGCACGAAACCGAATGCGGGCTGAGAAATCCACAGCATCCATTAAAACAGATTGTGAAGATTGCACCAATAAGTTTTGGTAGGGCAACAGGCGCACAACCCCCATTTCTCTCTCAACTCTTCCCTTCCATACTAACTTTTTTCTTTGCAAATCATGCTCGCCCAACTTTCCCCATCTTTAAAATGGTAGAGTTTTTTTTGCACAACATATGGACTTCTTTTGGCAGGGGCCCATTAGGTTTTTTTTTAGGGTTTCTTTTCAGCTTTTGTTGGGTGAAAGCCCGATTTGACCTCCCAATAAACTACTCGATACTCCTTATCTATGTTATTGAAATCTAAATAAGAACTTCTCCCTCCTCACAGAAAATCAATCTCATTGAAACATCTTGAAATCAAATCAGTTCCAGTTCTTACTCCTCTGAAATCATCAAGGAAAATTAGGTAACTCAGCAATGGAAATTCATGGATTTTGAAAACTCATCTCAGAGTTTTCCTGTTACTACATTGATGTCTAAGAGCTTGAGAGAGGCTAAATTTTCAAGGACCTTCTAGATAATAATTAGGACGATCTAAATGGGGTCCGACCATAGTGCCAAATTCAAAAGCAATTCCACCTTGAATTATTGTAATAACCTATATAAAATTATTTCATATACCCATATGAATCTCTTGGATCATTCCCTGCAACACAATATTTTACCATTTGGACCTCTCTTTCTCTACATTTACGTCAATTTCTATCATCGATAAGAGCTCCATTGAAGTTGCAGTAAAAATGCTGGTTAGAGTTGAACAATCATGGCCTTATACTGCTTCCTATAGCATCATTCTCCATATTCTTTTTTCTTCGAGGAGAGAGAAAGTGAGAATAGGTGGATCAGAGAGAGAGAAAGCCTGGAGTCGGTGAGTTTTATGGCGGGTGGAAAAGTAGATAGAAAATGGGGGAGCCAGCTTTTAAACGGGAGAGGGGAAACTTGACTACTGGTTACGGTTCCTCATTCTCCATATATGTGTGCGATCCGCGATGGACTAGATTTTTGTGGCCGCATAGTAACAGGCGCGGGCTTAGATGCACTATTCAATTCTTGTTCATTCTGCTTTGGAGTTTTAGGGAAAACTTTTTACATTTACCTTATAATATAGAAGTTAGAGTTATGTACGTACGGATCTTAACTAAGTTAGGAAAGTACGAATTGTTCTTTTTATATCCGAAAATTATAATCAACATCGACCAACGTGATTTTTTTTTTTGACAAAATTACATCTTGATATGAGAATATTATCCTCGGACCGCTTCTTTTAAAAAAAAACTTTAAGTTGCGGTTGAAGATGGCATTTTCAAACTGTTTTTTTTTTCTAAAATTAAGTTTCGGTATGAGGATGCCATTCCTGGACCCTTTTTTTTTTTTTTCAAAAATTAAGTTGTAGTCCGAAGATGGCATTCATGGTCCGCTTTTTTTTTTTTTCCTAATTTGAAGTGAATTTGTTTGAAGTTTTATTTCCTAATTTTCTCTGTAGTGGTTTGTACTCTAGTTTTTTTTTGTCTTTTTCTTTTTTAACTCATTCTGCTTAGTTTTCATAGTTTAATCATATTAAGGGGGATTTGTTTAAGGAAAATTGTTTCATGCGGCCTGGACCACATTTCTACAATATGAGGTCAAGAGGTACAAGCATCAGATGGATGCAAATAAGTGGTCCATCTAAAAACAATTGTAACTAACTGTCCAAATGTTTTCTTAATATAATTATTATTTTTAATTTTAAAAAATTATTTATTTATTTCATATTCATGGTTTTCATGTTAAAGATTTTATATTCTCAAAAATTTTAGGATCAAATTATGTTTAAAAAATATATTTATTACCAAGCTAGCATTTCTACATGCGAAGGCTTGGTCGCATGCTAACTGCCTCATTTGCTTAATGGACAACCATCCATGATGGGCTTGTGTACTTTTTGGGTAATTTATGCATGGAGTGTCTTCCTTGCTAAATTTTCCATATGCTTCGTTATTATTCCTCTTCGATTGAGCTCTCAAATGATTAATTCATTCTTTGATATGAGATAAGTTTGATGGATTCCATGATAATTTTTTTCTCAGTTGTTTTAAGGGGTCAAGTACTGTGAAATTGGGACTGGTGGTAAAATTAGGTTGAATTGAGCAGTTGGTGGAAATGGGTAGTGGGTGTTACGGCTATAACGTGTTCTTTGATACTGTATATCTGGAATTGTATTTATTGTTGATGTTTGATATATTTTAGTCAAAATCTGATATATTTTGATCTTATGCTTGTTGAAAAAGTGAGTTTTTTGAGACATTTTTGCTTCAAGGATAATATTGACTTAGGAGGCATCTTCTACAATGTTGTTCAGGTTATTTTTTTTCAGACTTTTTTTTTTCTTGGTTTTCCTCATGGTCGAATTTAATTTAGTAAGGATTTCGTTTTATTGGGGTTTCTTTCACATGAAAATTTGATTGTCTTTTCATGTCTTTTCTGATCCGTTAGAATGAGGGTTGGATGCAGTTTGAGTTTGTTTTCTTATGAAATCTGTATCATGGTTGATTCCTCCTAATGTAGCCCTCTTCTTCGTGTGTGTGTGCTTTTTTTTTTTTTTTGAAATTTGCGGGATCTGATTTATATTGTATATTTTGGGTATAGGCGTTGCTTTGTAAGTCTTTGAGGTTTATTGTAATCGTTGTTGAAGCTTAACATAGTGTTTCTTTTGAGTTACATAAAAGATTTTCTGTTTTCTTTGCCTTTTTTCTAGTTTTGTTGAGTTCGGGTTTCATTGAAATGATCTATAGATTAGTTGGGATTGTCAGATGTAAAAACACTTACTGATCTCTGGAAATGGGTCTGTCTATTTGTATTGTTTGTTAAATGGTGTATTGTGTTATTTTCCCGTAGCTGCATTATTGTGAGTCCTGAAAACACATTGTTTACATGCTTTCTTGGAATTTTATTATTGTATGTGTTGATATATCTGCATAGACTGGATCTTTTGGAGTATTATCACAAGAACTAAGAACAAAAAGATTCAAGATGTCGATAGAAATTTGCTTCAATCTCCATTGCATGGGTCCAAGTTATCATGTTTATTGGATCCTTCAATCATCAATGATCTTGTGAACCCTCAGTGCAGTCTTTGCTGAATAGTTGTGAATTAATACCGACAAGGCATGAGCTTCCTTCCATGTGAAATACTTTGTTGCTTAAGGATCCTTTCATTTAAGTACCTTTCCTTGGCTTGCTTTACTGATATCAATCCTACTGATTGATCTTATTGCATAGTTAGGTTCCAGTGATAATGGTGGGACCTCTGTCAGGTGGATGCTACTCTGGAGGTCCCGAGGACTCTAGATTGCTAGCAATGCATGGGGAACATTCATCTTTTCAGATTTGGCAAGGGAAGGTATATCGCTCTGTTCATTGGTATAGTACTTTTATACATTCTTGTTGGTTTGAATTTTATTTAACGGTTGCAGTTGGCATATGGATGCATCTGTAGCTGTAGAGGTAAGGTGCACCTTCAAATTTTATCATGGTATATAATTTCGATGTAAAATGTTCTTAGGATTATCTCAAAATCTATTTTTATATATAATTATAAAATTTTAAATTTAAAAAATGATTAAAATCAAGTAGATCTATAAACATATGAAAATCTTGAAAATGGATGGTATAGATAATAAATATGTTGTAAAATGCACTATTTCTGAGACTTAAAATCTTTTTATTTTTCATGGTCATACATCTCGATGTCGAGATGATCAATCAAAAGGTTTTTCAACATAAAAACTACATTTTTCGATGGGTTTTTGAGGTGCATCCGTAGTTCTACATTATAAGGTTGTATCCTTATATAAACTTTTTCCTTATTTAAAATGCAATTGAATTTTATCTTTATGTATTATAGTTCTCACATATTGTCTTGTTGTATTTCATGGTAAGGACAAAATCAAAATTAATGGGAAGACTAAACAACTAAATGGTTGGGAACCGACAGAAGAGCAAAAGGATATAGTGGCGGTGTGATTGGGTCTTCTTTATCACATCAGGCCGGGCCCAATAGACCATCCCCTGGTTGTTGTGAATGCAAAGAGATGGCGCATTGAAACCAATTCTCTTCACTTTATTGAAGAAATTTGAGAGATGGCCCCAACATTATTTGATGTTCACCAGATCATGAGGTAATCGGTTGATGGTGAACCCGTCACATGCTAGCCAATTAGTAGTTATAATAACTACATTCTCAGCCAGTTGAATGAAGTTGCCCCTGAGCTTAATTTCATCACCATCAAGCATACATGGCTAAAAACAAATTTCAGCAAACTACCACCAAATGCTAGCTCGCAACTAGTTGGATGGCACACACATGCCTACTTGACATTTCTCATCAGTTTTATTATCTTCTCTGATTCCTGGTAAATTGTGCCAATAAAGTATTTATAGTTTAAGGATTTTGATCGAGGTGGTAGATATGCATATGGTGCTGTTGCAATCACGTATTTGTATCGTTCTCTTGACAAGTCTACCACCTTTAGCAAAAACATTTCAGTGGCTCGGCCACATTTATGTAGGTAATTTTTATTTTATTGATTATTTCAATTTTATGGTTTCTTAAAGCAGAGTATAAGGTCATTTTTTTGGTATATATTAAGAGGTCGTTTGGGCACTTGAAAATATATTATCTGGAAAATATATTACTGGCATAATACATTACTTACAAATAGATTGTTACTATTTGGGTAATATCTAGCTTCAATCTGGGAAATACATTGATATTGTTTGGCTATGTCTGAAAAAATATGAAAAATGCATTATCGACATTTTGACTAGAAAATACTGTGTTAATTTTATCTATAGTACTGTGATTTTCAATAATTTTTTTTTCCTTTTTAATATAAAATTTTAATTAAAACTACTTTGTTTTTCTAATATGTGAAGGTAGCATCCGATTTAATTTTATCGGGCAACAATTACCCGACAAGTTTGAATTTACATAAAAAAGCATTAAAGTGGAAACCCATAATAACCCAATAAAATTCTCACCCTACTATTAGTACACTTTACTCAAAGAATCACATATTCCCATTCCCAATACTTTCACACCGCCTGCACTTCTTTTCTCTCCCCCTCCACTTCCAATATTTCCACCGCCAATGCCTATTCTCACTCCTCCGTCACGGCCTAACCTACCACACCCCCAGTGCATGTTCTCTCTCCTTCCCCAGTTTCAATGTTCCACCACCTGTGCCTCTTCTCTCTCCTCCAGCGTTACCTCATCAATGACTGTAATACCACCTCCACCAACGGTGTTGATCCGTTAGCCCCCACAAATTTCATATTTTTCCTCAAAAAAATGTATGATTTTAAGCGTGCTTTCCTTGCTTTATTTATTTTCCCCCTAAAAACAAGGGATGATATCAATAAAGGTTGTAAATTTTGAGCAATTACGATTAGAAAGGCGGATGCATCAACATAACCAGTCTCCAAGCTAGAGAGAGAGAGCGACAGACCTGCAGTTTTAGAGAGACAAAGAAATGGAGAGTGAGACCGTGAATGGCTAACGCTTGAAAAGAGGATCTACTTTGAAGATGTGGCTTCTGGAAATCCGGCTAAAAAACCATTAAGGAAAATACAAATCCGACTAGTTCAAATTGAAAAACTGGGGTTTCAAGCCAAAATGGGTAACCACCAAGATGCCAAGTCGAGGGATGTTGTGCGAAGCCATATTATTGCAAGCACAACGAGCAGAGTTTTTCAGCGAGAGAGAGAAGTGGAAAATGGCACGATGCGGACCTCAAATTTATGAAGTGTACTTAATATTTTCTAGCGTTCGTTGGCGGTTTGATATTACCCATCTTTTTTCGTAATACATTTTTTTGGTTATTGGGGTGGGTAATCGATTTCATGATTTTGGATTAAATGTTAGATAATGTGTTTCATTTTTTGCCCATTACTTAAGGTACCCAAACAATGAAAATAGCATATTTCTTTGTAATCTATTCCATGTAATAGAAATACAGGTATTCAAACGGCCCCTAAATGTATTATATTTGCGGTGTTGGTCTTATGAGCACATTTTGCACTCATGACCATTCCTCATACTATCGAACCACATGAGCCGAGAGCACTTAGATAAGTGCCTCCTAGGAAGTATAAGGGCAACCCTCATAATTCATTGCTACTGATGCGGCAGGAGTTCGATAAACTCAAACCTAATGGGATTGGTTCAAATGTCCAATGGCACCTTTCTTGTTAATATATATGTGTCATCTCTCCATTACTTATATGAGTTGATTAAAATGTTATCTGATAGGTTATCTGCAATCCTTATTTCAAGCCTGAAGATATCATATTGATAAAGACAAGTATCGTGCATTCAATATGGCGTTGTGTTTTACAACTCTTATATTTGAGGACATTGTGGAGCCTTGTATGACGGATTGTGTGTGCCGGCAGTTCGGATTTTTTTAGGGCATAACATGCATTCCTAGCAGACTCGCAAGGAGGAATGGAAGACATAGGAATCGACAAGACTAGAGGATTACGAATGATAATAAGATTGAGGAATGGGTAAATCGGCATAATCCCATGATAGAGGGCCTGGTTGCTTACTCGAACAATGGGCTCCCGTCGGAAGGGGATAAGGATTGGTATGGGCGAGTGACTCATCTAAAGATGCATAACCCCAACAGGGGAGGATATGGACATCGCCATGAACCTCATCATGTATTGGGATCTAGAGGCTACAATAACCATGAAGGCATGGTAAGCTAGCAATAAATACATGTTACCAATTTTATTGAATTATAATATATGTTATGAATTTTTTGTTTGGGTGTGTGTTTGTTTGTATATGTATACATTTTTTAAATTTTTTGATACATATAATAGTTGTTAATATATTGCTTATTATGCTATTATAGACTAGGAAGATACTAGTAAATGCCTATAGGCGATAATGAACAGTGATTTCGCCTACCCTCATCACCGTCCAGAGTTCATCGCATAATCATAATTGTTTGGTGGTGTTTTATTTTTTATTTGTTTTCTACAAATTGGAATGATTTGAAATTTGGAATGTATGTTCATAAAAAATAGATGAATCTATGAAAAATATCAAAAAAAATATTTTACATGAAATAAATTGATCAAAATACCCCCAAAATGTTTTATAGGTATTTTGGTCAATTTTGATCTTACAAATTTTTTTTTTATATTTTTATTAGGTACACCTCACTAAGATGTACACACACTCCAAATTTCATATCATTTCTATTTGTAAAACAAAAATGAAAAATAAAACATTACTGGACATTCGTGACCGTGCGATGAACTTTGGACGGTGATGAGGGTAGGCAAAATCATTGTTCATTTTCGCCTATGGGCGTTGGTAAGACTTTTCCTATAGACTAATATAAGCATTGAATGAAGACTAATATATTTTATTTATTTCATTGTGATGGTCATACCAAATAAAATCCAACTGTGAAACCTCAAGACAAACCGCTTACAAAGAAAACAGTCTAAATACAAGTGAAGACTTAATGCAGTCATCTGAATACAGGGAAAAATCTTATCCTCTCGAATTTAAGTCTCAAATATTCTATGAAACGATCCTTAAAGAAACAGGATCGATAGAAGTCTTCCGAAAATATAGAGGGCATGACATTGTGGCTTATTCAAAAATCCGAATAAAGAGAATATTGGCCTATAAAGATTGGGGATTTGATCCTCTTAAGCCAAGGTATTTTAGAAATACTTGCTCTAAAATCAAGAACTATATTTATTATGACTACATCGAAGCCTGGGAAAAGGTTCTGATAACCCGAAACAAGTAAAATACTCACAGTTGGTTTATCTGTTTCAGGCTTAATGAAGTCATAAATAAATTACCCACATGGTTTTAAAAATGGATGTTATACTTGGGGCCTGACCCAGATATTTATCCCAAACAATTACGATGCTCGCTGTCAAAATTTGAAGCAACTAACAGAAACTGGTCTAAAATAGAGACCCTAGTCCGATTTACCATCTTATATGAGATCCCTTGGATCCTCAGATGGTCTTATACTGTTACTGAAGATGATGAAAATTTATCTTGAACGAATAATACAAATAAAATGGTGGGACAATTTTGATATTAAAGACTTAGTTCCCGAAACCATTAAAATCATCAAAATTAAAGTCAATACACTTGGGCTTAACCAACCAACAGGTACAACCTCATATTTAAGGCTTTTACAGACTGAAAATCCAAATTTATCAAAAGAAGAACTCAAAGAAAAACTATTATCAATGTTCAAAGAAGACTCAATGTCAGTCAGTGAAGAAGAAGGAAACCTGAACGGTGATGACAGTTCGAGGATTCTACCCCCGATCCATTAAACATAAAGTAGACATTGGGCCGGCCCGACTCCACTCTATCAAGGTCACGATGCCCACTAATCCTACCAACACTTTTAAGATAAAATAAAAGATATGTGTCCATACTATATTGACAGGTGTCCCTATTAAGATGTTGCCGACATCTTTTTGTTACACCAAAGGACAGATGTCCCCACTAAAATGCTGCCACCAACACCATCTGCCACTATTCCTACCTTTCCACATAGCAAGTACCACCAACATTACCGACATCCACTACCCTCGTCTTCCGCGTGGCAGGAAATCAATGGACCGACATCCATGTTTAAGAAAACTGGGATGAATGAAATTTGAAGTCCGAGATGATAAATAGAGGACTTCTCCTTTGAACAAGGCATCCCTTGGAGAGTGCTTAAGTTTGAAGTTTGCTTAGCCTTCTTTCCTACTCTATATTTTCTCTCTCTCTCTCTCTCTCTCTCTCTCTCTCTCTCTCTAAAAAGATTGTAAAAGTTTTAGAGTGTGCTGGTGTATCTGGTTTTATGTAAGTATTTCAATACTTTTTATTTATAAGTTGATGTGTTTATCTTAATCTATCATTTCATTTGTTATGTTTTGTTAATACCATTATGTTATTTTATTTTTTATGTTTTGATAATACCATTCTGTTATTTTACTTGTTATGTTTTGTTAATCCCATTCCGCTTGACGTGCTCAAAATAGGTATTAGAGCCTATATGTTCCTATCTTAGATAAACAGTTTTTGTATCAGAACTCTGTCCAAGTCCTGATAAAATATTGTTCATCACAGTCGTAATAGTAATAAGCCATCATAAGTCACCAAAGTCGTGAACAGTGCCGAACACATGCTATTAATTTATTGACTCGGTTGCGTAATTACGTTATTGACTCGATGGTAGGACTTTTCAGACTCGACTCTCAGAGATTTGATGCTAAGGCCAGTTCATCTGGTAGGTCAGTCAGGAATTCTGAAGAAATTGTTATTGCCAACATAGAAAAGGACTTAAACAATTGGAATATTCCTAAGGTCTCTACTTCTGAAATATGTAGTAAGGGAACTTTTGAGTTCAGAAGTGATTATGTAATTAAAACTAAAGAAGAAACCAAGTCTGTC